TCATTTTAAAGTAGTGATGGAAAAGGATAGACTGGATCTAAAAGTTAAAGTTATAAATTAGAGGAAGGCTAATTTTGAGACATTAGGCAAGAACTTTCCAAAGTTGATTTGGGAGGGGAGGGAAAGGGAGTTGGGGGGGGGGGGGCGGTGGCGGCGATGTTCGCAGGTAAAGGAACGGCTGGAGAATGGGAAGCCTTCAAAAATGGGATAGCAAGTGTCCGGGGAAGGTATGTTCCTGTTAGTGTGAAGAGCAAGGCTGATAGGTGTAGAGAATGCTGGATGACTAGAGAAATTGAGGTTTTGGTCACGAAAAAGGAGAAAGCATATGTCAGGTATAGACAGCAGGGATCAAGTGATTCCTACAAGACTATGAAGGCAGTAGGAGTATACTTAAGAGGGAAATCAGGAGGTCAAAAAGGGGACATGAGATAGCTTTGGCAAATAGGGTTAAGGAGAATCCAAAGGGATTTTTTTAAACACATTAAAGGGCAAAAGGGAAACTAGGGAGAGAATAGGGGCCCTTAAGATCAGCATGGCCGCCTATGTATGGAATCGCAGGTGATGGGGGGAGATACTAAACAAGTGTTTTGCATCAGTGTTTACTATGGAACAGGATATGAAAGAGAGAGAACATGGGGAAATAAATAGCGACATCTTGAAAAATGTCCACATTACAGAGGTGGTGGTTCTGGACGTCTTAAAATGCATAAAAGTGGATAAATCCCTGGGACTTGATCAGGTGTACCCTAGAACTCTGTGGGAAGCTAGGGAACTGATTGCTGGGCCCCTTGCTAGATATTTGTATCATCGATAGCCACAGGTGAGGTGCTGGAAGACAGGTAGATAGGATAGCGAAGGCAGCGTTTGGTATGCTTGCTTTTATTGGTCAGCGCATTGAGCATAGGAGTTGGGAGGTCATGTTGCGGCTGTACAGGACATGAATTGGCAGTGCTGGCAAATGGGACTAGATTTATTTAGAATATCTGGTCGGCATGGACGACTTGGACTGAAGGGTCTGTTTCCGTGCTGTACATCTCAATGACTCTGTGACAAGGATTTCACCCCAGAAGGATAAAGTTCTGGTGTCACAGCACCATCTGCTGGCCTACAACATTTAACAGTGAATTGAACAGATTAGAGTCATCATATTAAAGAAAACAGGATTGCACTTTCAATAACCACAATATAGTGATCCACAGCAAATAATTTAAAATATTCAGTTCCCATCTAAGGCACTAAATATTTGACTGAAAAAATGGAAACTCTTAAGTTAAATTGGAAAATGCTGCAGATATATCTATCCAAACTGTTTCGCTGCTGTTTTTTTTGCTGTTGTCCACTGTGAGCATTTGTTTTTACACTAAATATTTAATTACTTCTACTAAGGAGGGTCTGTTAGGTTAGGGCTGTCTGAGCTTCATTCAAAATGATCATATAGGAGAATAAGATGCTGCCTCAGACTCGTCTAAAGATTAAACACGTTCCCATAAATTTTGTACATTTCTCAACATGATAAGGGGTCTGGATATTCTGAATTAAGGTTTAAGTGAGGTATCGGTTGCAAAAGCATCCTTTACAAACATCATGGGGGAGAAAAGAGAAAAGAGAAATGTTGCACTGAAATGAGAGTGGGTTTGGATGTACTGAGATAAGCAGAATATTTATCCTAATACTGAAATAGCTCGTGACACTGCTTAAGAGGAAAGCATGGCCTTGATTTTAATACTCACCCATTGCTGTGGGCAGCTGCCTTCAAATACTGCTCTTAACTTCTGACATTCTGAAGAATCCTTGTCACTCTCATCGAGACACTGCCAGTATCTATCCCTCGCTCCCCAACAGGCTTTCCTCTCCTCTGCTGTTGGGGCACTCATTCTTCCTGGGAAACAAGAACTTAAATAAATCAACTGCTCTCAGGCCCCTCTCATCAACAAACCAGCTTCTCTTCTTCCCTCGCTTACCATCAACACTCATTATAGCTCCCTGTTCCCCACTAGCCACTCTCTAACACCCTCCTTCTCCCCCTCTCCACTCACTGCTCCCTACCACTCCCCCTATCCACTGACTAACCACCTCCCATCCAATCAGTTATCCCCCTCCCCTGTCCACTCACTCCCGGCTCCCCGTCCCCCTTCCCCATCCCCTCACTACCCCGCGCCCCCTCCCACTGTCCCCACATCAACTCACGACCCCCATCAACTCACTAAACTCCTCTCCGTCCACTCACTAGCCCCTCCCCCTTCCCCACTACCACCCTTCCCTTGTCCCCCCGGTCACTCACTACCTCCCTCCCCGTCCCCAAAACTACCTCCCTTTCCCCTGCCCCGGTTCAGTCACTACGCCCCTCCCCCTTCCCCCTGTCCACTCACTATCCCCCTTCCTCCTCCCCCGTCCACTCACTACCCCCTCCCTCTACTGACTCATTGCCCACCTCCAACTATCACTCACTCCACGCCCCCCCAAATCCCCATCATCATCAGCATAATTACCACCTTTTCCCAGCCGCTATCAGTTCTGAAGAAGGGTCACTGGACTTGAAACATTAACCCTATTTTCTCTTCATAGTAGCTGAAAGGCCTGCTGAGTTTGTCCAGCAATTTCGGTTTCTGTAGTTGTGGAAGGATTTTTTCCTGACTGGAGGACTGTGACCATGGTGTACTGCAAGGATCAGTGCTGAAACCTTTGTTGTTTGCAATATATATAAATGCTCTCAATAAAGGATCAAAAGGTGGCCTCAATGAGTGGCAGTCAGGATTCAGAAGGCTTGTAACTAAATCGCTCCTGGTCATATTTCAGCAGAAAGTGAAACTTTGAAACCGATAATGATCCTCATCTGCAACATAGCGATGTAACAGATTCTCCCCTAGCTGATTCGCTGTAACATTTGGAGGGCAATAACATAGTTATTAATTAACTGGATTGTCAAATCAGAGGCTTTGCCTAAGGATCCAAAGATGCAAATCCCACAACATAGGCTCGGGTATTTAAATTCAGTTGAGGGAATTAGATTGTCTTTCTCATGAGGAAATGTTCAGGGTTACAGGGAGCAAGCAGAAAACTGGCACTCGTTCCGAGATCCAACGCAGACACGCTGGGCTGAATGGCCTGCTTTGTGCTGTAACAGATCATAGAACACTACAGCACAGGAACAGGCCCTTTGGCCCATCATGTCCATGCACCATGATGCCATTGTAAACTAATCCCATCTGCCTGCGCGTGGTCCATATCCCTCTATTCTCTGCCTGTTCCTGTGTCTGTATAAATGCCTGTTAAGCAGTGCTATTGTACCTGTTTCTTCAACCAACCAAACACAACACGCGTCCCCCTCCCCCATCCCGGCAGCGCGTTCCAGGCACCTACCGCTCTCTGGGTAAAAAGCTTGCCTCACACATAACCTTTATAGTAACAGAGATAGTAGGAACCGCTGATGCTGGAGAATCTGAGATAACAAGGTGTAGAGCTGGATGAACAC